CCCCCCCCCCCCCCCCCCCCCCGACCACACATTTCTTCCCATTATATAATGTTCCTAAATTCATTTTTGGACGTCCATAAAGGGGGAGTGGGAAATTACATATGGGATGGATGGAGTACAATATTTTGGTATTCTCAACTTCACATCATTATATGTTTTCAAGCAATGCATCCGAGTGAATCGTTTTTTGTTGTCATGTTTTATCACTAGCTCTTACATTTGTAATTTTGTATCTTCTTTGGTGTCCATGGTGTTCTTTTGTGAAAGTAGCTCTATATCATGAAAAATGATTCTATCACTGTGCAGCAAAAATGGGAAAAAGGAAGTTGGGGGACCTAATTTTGGAATGAGCTAGTAGTCGTGTTACCTTTAGTGGAAAGTTTTCTATCATAAAATTTGAGTAGTTCTACAGACGAAGGGTACCATTGGGAACTATTAGTATCTTTTTGAATTTGGAGCATAATTTGCTTTTCATAATCTATTCTCATGGTCTTGAGTAAACTGATGCACCAAACATTGTCATCTATGTGCCTGAAATGTTCCTGACTTGCAGTTATCTTTTGGTTTTAGTTTGATCCAAATGGAAGGCAATGCTTGACAATGGAGGGTTACAGGGAGATAGGAAGGAAAGTTCGTGGCCTTGCAGACAAATATAGCAATGGGAGATTATTAATTGTCCAAGAAGGCGGGTACCACATCACTTATTCAGCTTATTGCCTGCATGCAACTCTCGAAGGCGTTCTCAATGTTTCTGAACCTCTATTGTTTGATCCTATTGCTCATTACCCCGAAGATGAATCGTTCCCCACAAAAGTTATCGAGGCAATAAAAAACTACCAGAAAGATACAGTCCCATTCTTGAAGGATTCTTAGTCATGAGGCACTTATGAAAGATGCACTTTCCTTCCTGAATTATGTAAGTATGTAACAACAGGTGCATGTTATATGTGTGTGTGTGTGTATGACTTATGTTCACAATGTAACAAAAAGTTCAATTTTAGACTTTTAGGCTATGTTTGGGAGTTGGATTTTGATTGGAAATAGAAGAGAGGGTTTTATTATTACTCCTTCAAATTTTCTTTTGGTTTGACTTTTCTTTGGCAACATTTTTTAATGCTGACTACAATTAGTGTATAAATACATTGTGTTATAAATTTGATGTCAATAGATTCATTTTGAAACATCGTGTTAAAATATTACATATATATATATATCTATATATATATATATATATATATATATATATATAAGTAGAGATATTAATGGTTAAAGTCTTACATTGGAGACCATGAAAATGTCAAACAAGAAGAAATTTATGGGAGGGGGGGGGGGGTATAATTTTTAACTTATGTGTTTGTGTTTGTGTGTGTGTGTATAGCTTATGGAAATAATCAAAGGAAGATATCTCTGTTAAAACAAAAAGGAAGATATCTGGATCTATACAAATGTCATATTATACAGAGTATATCTTCTAAAAAATTGTCATAGGAAAACACAATTTTATAGAATAAGAAATAACTTGTTTCCTCTTTCCCCTTGTCCCAAACACATCCGTAGGGAACCAGGGTGTGGATTAGCAAATTTAGATAAAATGCGTGGATATAGCTATTTAGGGTGTGGATTTAGCACCACTCAAAATATTTCTACCCATTTTTTCATTGCGTGCTGAATAAACCAATTAATCCAACATATTATTATATTCGTTTATAATTTGTAAACAGCTACAATCTTTATTTGTTATAAATAAATTGATGCATTGTCTAATTTTAAGGTAATCTTACAAGGTGATGGGAAGATTTTCTTTGTGCTAAACAAAGCATTATATTAATATTTAGCAAAAGATTGACCAGTGATCGAATGCCATTTGGCATCTATGGACATTTTAAAAGGAAACGATAGATTAAAATAAAGAGAAAAGAGGAGAAAGTAGACCATGAGTGCAAACAAAATGAAGAAATAAACAGTAAAATGCAAAACAGCAAAAGAAAACAGAAGAGAGAAATAAAAGGATTAGAAGACAAGGGTGAGGGAGAGAGCGAGAGAGGGGAGAATGGGGTCTTGAATTAGAACATTCATCTTTTATAGGGTTTGATCTATATGCAAAAAAGACTAGATTGAAAACCCTAGATTAGAACCCAGTTCTTTCTCCCCCCCGCTTCCCCTTAAACACCCAGATTTCCCTGAAGCATCCCCAATTGAGGTTGGTAGAAATTCTTGTTTCACAATTCTTGAATTAAAGTTTCTGCCCTTTTTCACATATCTTGATTTCTTGATCAAAATTTTTATTCTAAAATCTTTTATCATATCGGTTTGGATTCTTCATGCAAAAGAGATCTGGGTAGTTTTTATGGATGATAATGGATGTTGATTACAGAGGAATCTTGTATGTGTATGTATGGATATATTATGCAATTCTTTTTTCTGTCTCAAACATGGTGTATGGTGTGACAAATGCAAATGATTTGAAGATTCTTATCGAATTCAAAAATGGGTTAGAGAACTCAGAGCTCCTAAATTGGCCTGCAAAAGGAAATGACCCTTGTGGTCCTCCTACATGGCCTCATATTGTCTGCTCAAAAGGCAGAGTCACACAGATTCATGTTCAAGGCTTGGGGTTAAGTGGTCCCTTACCTCAGGACTTTAACCAGCTTGACAGCCTGGAAAGTCTTGGCCTTCAGAAGAATGATTTCTATGGCAAACTCCCAACTTTCAATGGCTTAGAGAATCTACAGTCTGTGAACTTGGATGGAAACCAGTTTGATACCATTCCTTCAAGTTTTTTCCACGGCCTTAATAGTGTCCGTGTTTTGACTATGGATGACAACCCATTGAATAAGTCAACCGGTTGGTCCATACCTCTTGACCTTCAAGGATCTACTCAGTTAGCCAACTTTTCATGTTCTAATTGCAATATAGTAGGAACTTTGCCGGGTTATTTTGCAGAACTCCCTTCTCTGGTTGCATTGAAACTTTCTGGTAATAGGCTAAGCGGCAGCATTTCAAACAGTTTTCGCCAATCAATGCTTCAGGTCTTGTGGTTGAATAATCAGGGTGGTGATGGGATGACGGGTTCAGTTGATGTCATTGGCTCCATGGTCAGGCTCAAATCTGTTTGGCTTAATGGGAACAGATTTAGTGGAGAAATCCCTGATAACATCGGGAATTTGACTTCTTTAAAGGATCTGAACCTGAACGGGAACCAACTTGTTGGTCTGGTTCCCAAAGGATTAGCTGATTTGAATCTTCAGGCGTTAGGTTTGCATGGGAATTTACTGATGGGTGCAATTCCAAAGTTTAGAGCTTCCAAAGTCACTTACTCTTCGAATTCTTTCTGTCAACAAGAACCGGGCGAACCTTGTGCTCCAGAAGTTAATGCCCTGATACAATTCCTTCACGAGATGAATTATCCGCCCCGCCTTGCTGCGGAATGGACAGGTAACGATCCTTGCAAGGGGCAATGGTGGGGTATCACTTGTAATCTAAATGGTAATGTGTCCATTATTAATCTCCAAAAGCTTGATCTTGAGGGTACGTTGAGTCCTTCACTTGCAAGCTTGAATTCACTGGTTGAGATTCGCTTGCCCGGAAACCATTTGCACGGGAAAGTTCCAGCGGAGTTGACTTCATTGAGATCTTTGAGATTGTTGGATATTAGCGGGAACAATTTTGACTTGCCGTTCCCACAATTCAACGATAGAGTGAAGGTAATCACTGATGGCAATCTTGCTTTGAGTCCTTCAAGTAGTCTCATATTGTCTCCGCCTGATCACCCACTCACGCCTTTACCAGATCCGAGTTTCATAATCAATGGTTCCTTAACAGTTAACCATTCTCCGCCGTCGATAGACAGCCCCCCTCCTCTCCCTGTTAATGTCACAGATTCCGACACAAAGTCTGTCATAGTTTTCACTGTGGCAGTCAGTGTAGCTTCTACAGTGCTTGTCCTACTATGTGTCATTTACCTTTGTTACCTCTGGAAAAGGAGAAGGCCAAATAAGATTTACGGTGCGACTATGTTCAATCCCAGTAAAGATCGATGGAGCAATGACATTAGAATCACAATCAGTGATGAGTCCCCAATGGAGGATGGAACCCCTAATCTGAATATTTTAGTTCCACTTCAGATCCTCCGATCTGCGACAAACAATTTCTCCCCCCATAATGAGATTGGCCGCGGAGGATTTGGAGTGGTTTACAGAGGGGTGCTTGACAATGGCACTCAGGTTGCAGTGAAGAGAATGGAAGCAGGGATTGTTAGTGGTAAAGTGGTGGATGAATTTCAGGCGGAGATTGCTGTTCTTTCTAAAGTACGCCATCGCCACCTCGTGTCACTCTTGGGTTACTCTATGGAAGGAAATGAGAGACTTTTGGTGTATGAGTACATGGGACAGGGAGCTTTGAGTAAGCATCTTTTCCATTGGAGAAGCCTCGACTTGGAGCCATTGTCATGGACAAAAAGGTTGATAATTGCTTTGGATGTCGCTAGAGGGATGGAGTACCTTCACAGTCTCACACACCAGAGCTTCATACACAGGGACCTCAAATCATCCAATATTCTTCTTGGGAATGATTTCAGAGCTAAAGTTTCTGATTTTGGATTGGTGAAACTCGCTCCTGACAGAGATATGTCTGTTGCAACTAGGCTTGCTGGAACATTTGGGTACCTTGCTCCAGAATATGCAGGTATTAAAAATAAAAATCACTCTCTACTCCGAAAGAAAAGGAAGAAATCATGTCAATGCTTTCAGGAATTTGAGATTTTAAATGAATACTCTAAGATTACATAATTATCACTAGCACTCCCAAAATTTAAATAATGTACTTGAATACTCCAAGATTACATATTGATCACCAAAACACCTCAAAAATCGGGGAATGTTTGCAAAAAAGTTGAGTTTCTTGGCGCATTGGTTATAATTATTTAATCTTGAAGTATTCTTGTAAAACCTCAAATTTCTGTGAGTATTGACATGTTC